CCATTGGTATATTTAATTTAGCTTGCAAAGAATAAATAGATAGACATTTCGGCTTGAATATAAACTTCTTTTTAGTAGATTGTATTTTAATGTAGCATTTTAGGTAGAATTCTACCCAAAGATCGACGAGCCTATTCAAAAATATTTTCGAAATAAAGCTTTCTTAAGCCTCACTCGTTTCACCCACATATTATAATATTTTATTCAACGTGTTATTTAAATTTATTTTTACTTTTTGAAAAAATGGCAACCCTCTAAATGTATTTCTACAATAAAGCATTTTGCCTATCTCGTTTGATACCCACATTAAAATATTTCGTTTAAACTTTTCAATATAATTGATTTGAACTTTTTTAAACAGATAGCAACCGTCTTAAAGTATATTTAGTTATCAATTAATTGACTTTTACTTTTCTAACAGGTGGCAACCCTCTTAAAAATACTTTCGCAGTACATATATGGGTTTTGGAACCGCTTTCGTTTGACACCCACATTGCTGTAATATTTTGTTTAACTTGTATATTAATCGATTTCAACTTCTGAAAGAGGTGGCAATTCTTTTCAAACAAATATTTTATATGTCAAGCCAGGATATAAACTACCTGTATTCAAAATTTAATTGAAATATATCTAGACGTTTTAGCGTGAAAGAGCAACAAACATACTCACTCACAAACTTTCACATTTATAATATTAGTACATACATAGGATTAGTGGAATTTAACTTAAATAAATCAACCTGTTTAAATAATTTAATGAATGATGTATGTTTAAAACACACACGACATTTTTCTTTTCGACATTTTTCTTTTCGACATTTTTTTTTCTCGGCAATCTTAATTTACTACCTATTTTTCGGTGTTTTTAGTTTCGACGTATCGTACCAGGCCCCCTTCGTGCATGTATTCGTGTTCGTTTGCCTGTTCAAAACTAAGCCAAATGTGAGAAACCTCCCTATTTCGAAACCATAAAAATTGTCGTCTGTGGTTACTATCTCTGTTTTGTAAATTTTGAGCTCTTCAGGGGTACCTCAACGGACAAAGTGGTAAAGTCTATTACGCCTTGTTTGGGGCGCTTCTTTCTGAACTTACATCTGGAACTAGAAGGTTCTCACTAGAAATTTTTTTCAAATCTCTAAATTTCTATAAAAAGTCATAACCCTTTAATACGATTGTTTTGTTTACTATTCTTCCCTAGATGCCAATAGTTTAAGCGTTGCGGTAAACTTCGCAATCAAAATGATATGTTGCTGCCGGATGAAACTTACGACGGCCACGGAATACATGCGACTGTAGCAACAGTCACTCAGCAGCCACCGCCTAACAAGGCTTTAACAATAAAAAGCCACACAGACATAATAAAAAGTAAAAGTTCCAAAAATAAAACCAAATCGCTGAGTACCTCGCGCAAATGCAATGACACTCACAATGGCCACGCTGAAGCAGTCAGCTTCAAGGGTAGTAGTAGTTGTGGCAGCAACGAAAGCAAAGACAGCGGCAATGGCGACGTCTCATTTCCGTATTCCACTACCAATTTCTTTACAAATATCCTGGACGCTTTGGGTGATGATATATTGCCACAATGCGAAGTATTCACACACCAACACCAACCCCAGTCAAGGGCAAGCGACGCCGAAGCGGCTCAATGTCACAGCCTCAGCGTTAGCATCAGCAGCAGCGATAGCCACAGCGCCAATGGTAGCGATAGTGGCGTACGCGTGCGTTTGACGGCCAATCCGGATGTGATGCGCGTTGTTTGCGATAATTTCCTGCGTCGGCATCGCATACGTCCGGACTTCTTTTGTCAATACCAGCAAGCGATTAGGTGAGTTTCGGAATTCATGCGCTTCAGCTATGCACTAAATAATGCGAAATGCAACAAGAAAAATGCTTAAATTTTGTTTTCTTTTTTATGTTTTTTGTTGCAGCGCTGCTGCATTATTGCAACAATCCAAACCAAAGAATGCGAATACAGCGACTGTTGCATGCCAGCCAACCGTCACTGTTGACACTCATACTAAAGCCACTGTAACGACTGCGACGAAGGCCGTTGAAGTGACAAAAACGCCCGATGACGCGGAGTTGGATTTGAAAAAGCAAAAGAAGCAGCAGCAACAGCAACAGCAACAGCAACAGCAACAGCAACAGCAACAGCAACAGCGTGCAAATGCAGAATTGCTAAACCTTTATACATTGCCGCTGGTAAAGCACAAGAAAGCATGCAATGCGACAACAACTTTAGCGGCTACAACAACATTGCTGCCTACTGCAGCTGCCACAGGTAAGTGCAAGACGATCGCGTGCGGAGCTTGTATTTAGAACAGCAGTAGTAGTGATGTTGGAGTATTTTAATTGCAACAACGTGCTGAAATTCTCATGCTCTAACAACACGTTTTTGTTGTTTCGTGTTAATGTTATTACTTTTTTTTCTTTGCCAGTAAATATTATGGCATAGCAAACATGCTTGACAATTAATTAACAGAAAATTTGTGTAATGCTAAATGCGAATCGAAAGTGCTTTGAATATTCCCGAGGATAGTGTAGTCTCTTGCGCGAGTTGACTTTGTTGAGTTGTTTGGTGTTAGAAATGAAGATAAAATTAGGTCAAAAACTGGCCCCAGATTCTAGGAATTAAGTATTGAACCCTACACCAAGTTTCTGATGAGGTGATGAGAGCTCCATATAAAATGTAGCAAGAAGTAATGTGGAGTACTAGGAGCCTAGGAATGAATAAATATGAAAAATGGTTGAATTTAGCGGACTGCCACGCCCACTACACTAGGGGGCGGATATGGTAAATTTTATCCGATTTCAATGAAATTCGATTTGTAACTTAGATTAAGCTAAGAAGACATAAATCAGAAAGACGGAAAAAATTGGTGAACTGACACACCCGCCAGCCAATCGAATTCGAATATTTAAATGGTATATAACTTTTTTTGTGCAAACTTATATTACAGGTGCTATAAGGGGTCAAAGTTCGGGTCTTCAAAATATTGAAAACCTTATATTTCAAACAATTTTGAAAATGAGTTTGATAATTAAAAAATTTGCATCGTTTTAAACGTGATTAAACTCCCTTTCTTCAGATGAGCATATTTGCATACTTTGTATCAAGGCACATTAAACAGGTAGTATCAGTAGAGCAAAAACAACATTTGCGTGTATTTTGTTGTTGCTTCTGGTATCGACAGTGTCAACAACTGTTCTGAATTTTTTCTTCTAAATCAAAGCGTGCCATGTGAAATACAAAAAATTATAAAAAATAAAAAATTGAAATTGGAAAAAATAAAAATTGATGCAACTTTCTTTCCTAGTAAATTTGTTTGCTTCTCGAAGCATTGATCCATCCTTTGCAAGGCCCAGTAATCAGCGGTCGTGCTGCCGAGTTGGGCGAACGTTCCAAAAGCTGCTATTCAATCGCTTGTTTTGTATGGAAAAAGGTTTCACAAGCAAATGGATTTTAACAACTTATAATTTTCGTGAGAAAAAATTAAAAATATTTCACATTTTCGAGACCAAATAATTTGAAAATAAATCAAATCAGCTGCTCTACTGATACTACCTGTTCAATGTACCTTGCTTTGTATGTAAAAATTTGATAAAAAACATTTAAAACGAAAAAATTAATTTTTTTATAAAAAAAAAAATATTTTACACAAAAAAATTAATTTCCGATTTTTTAAAAAATGTATATCGCTGTAAACGCAATCAAAACTTCTTTCTTCTGATATGCGTATTTGTATACTCCGTATTAAAAAAAAAATTGAGAAAAAACACTTAAAAGGGAAAATACCTTTTTTTATAAAAAAAATACTAACCGATTTTTAAAAATATCATTGTAAAGGCGATTAAACCCCCTTGTCTTCTGGTATGCATATTTGTATACTTTGTATATAAAAATTTAAGAAAAAACACTTGAAAGCAAAAATAAACATTTTTATACAAAAAAAAATTACAAACCGATTTTTTAAAAATTGGTATCGGTGTAAAGGATACCAGCAGAAAACTTACACTTTCCTAAACCCAAAAATTTTCTATTTATATACACAAAAAAAAAATTAAGTAAATTAAAAACATTTTTTCCCTCTATATAAACTCCGGCCCCCTAGGTGAAAGGCTGGCTACGTCCTTGTATACAAAACAATTAAAGTAATTAAACTCTACATCATACGGTCAGTTTTTTCTTCTAGAGCGCATACATGGTTCCATAATAATGATGCCAGTATCTTCATTTATGTATATTGTAACTATCAAAATCTTATAAAGACTCGTCGGCACTGACTCGTCGGATCGTCGGTTCGAATCCTACTGAAAGAAGTCTGATTAGGAAATGTGGTGATTTCCGAAATAGCTATCACTTCTACCATTTTTCAAATTATTGTTGCTTTTCCACAATAAGTTTTCATTAAAAAACGGCCTCGAGCTCAATAAAAATTCTTGAATATAATTGTTATAAGGCCATAAAATAACAAAAACAAATTTCCAAGGATATAATAAAATTTGAAAAGAACATTTTCAATACTTATTCGTCCCGGTGCACCCAAAAATTGAATTTTTTTTCTATTCTACGGAATTCTTCGAATCCTTTGAATAATTTTTTTATTCAATCACATTCTAGAAATTTCAAAGTCATTTAAAAAAAAAAATTCTGACGTCAGAGAGAAAAACTAAAAGCGCAGTTTTACTATATTTGACCCCCAGTTATGTGAATATATTGATTTTTTCGTGTGTATAATTGACTCTCGCACAGTGTTATCACTATATTTCAGATGTATGTATGTCTTCCTAGCTTAATCCAAGTTACAAACCGAATTTCATTGGAATCGTATCACATTTACCATATCCGCCCTCTAGTTAGTGTGCGTGGCGGCGGTTCGCCAATTTTTAACAGTTTTCATACTTTTTCTTTCATTAGTGAAAGTGGTTCAATTTTAGCAAAATCGAGATACGTTTTCTGCAATTTTTAAAGCGATCTGCCAGTTTGAAGCGTTCAGTCTATGGAAGATTGACCATTTGGACGCAAGCGAACGCAGCTGAAATTTGTCTTGCTATTAGTTTAAAGTGTACAAAGTATTTTTGTATCAATCATCCTCCGACGCTCGGCACCGCAAACTACTTATACTGCCCATAAAAACACTAAAAATGCATAATATCACAGAAATGTCCTTAACTCGGTAAGGATTAGGTAAAATTGTGAGGACTTGATTTTGAGTTACACTTACATAATATTCTCTCACAAGTGTTCCCACTTACAGGTTTTATGTCAATAGGAACTACTTCCTGTAAGTTCTGACTAATTCCTGTAAACCGGACTGCTATTGGAACAGACTTATTGAAGATGAAGGCAAATTCAGTTTCAATAGATCATTCAACTACCGTTTCCGGTAAAGTCGTATCCAAATTCTTACGTAAAAATTCTATTCATACAACACCGACTTCCTGTGTCCTTTGATAATTTCTAGAATAGTTGTTCTATGGAAAAATCCCTAAAACCTGTTAAATAGTAGATATGTTTAGAATTGAGTCAACCACGTAGTTGGCTATTTCCACATATTTCGAAATTGGCACTCTCCGATCACTGTGCGCCGTCTGGAAACGCGTCGCCAGAACAATCTCCACTCGCATTCTACCCATAAGCAGCCCTATGCAGGCAAAGAAAGCCACCCCTATTTCGTTACTCGACGACCATTTCTCAAGAGTGAGTACCCTTACTTTCCAGCTCATCTCTCTCTGTGTGAGGTAAAGGATCCACTGGGGGGTCAGCATCGGTACGCAGTAATGAAATCTAAGCTTCTTAAAAATGCGATGTTCATAGATGAAGATGAACATAAAACGCACGCCTATTAGCCTAGCTGCGACTAGATCAGCGGAAGCTTTGGCTGATAAAAATATTTTGGATGTTGTGGCAGACGCGATTACTACTAGAGAAAACTTTTGGTATCATACCTGGTATCAAACACAGGTCTTAATTAACGGTAGAATGCTGATCTGAAACTAAACCCGGATCCTAACATGTAGCGGCATGCAGCGCAATTTACTCTATCACTGCAGGTACCATTATGGCTTGATAGATGGTCTGAAATCAAGTGAAGTGCGAGGCGTTTGTGGCCGGTCTGATCGCTCTTACATACAAGAGGTACCACAAATATTACTGCAAGGTGCCTTCTTCTGTCAGGTTTACCCAGACTGGGACCCCAGTGATGGTATGTACTTCAAACACTCGATGATCCAAATCCCTCGCGTTTGCAGGCGGTCAGAACATTTTCCCAATCTTGAGGTGTGAGCAATATGGAGGCAAGATACGCTCTTTGGTCACGTTTCATTTTAGTGCGCAAATCTTTAGTAACAAAAAATGCCATGTTACATTTAGGAAATACGTCAGATATTTTTATGGGACGTTGTTGTCCAGTGTTGTTACTCCATTTCAAGCTGCCTTCATTTTAAGCTGGGCTTAAACTATCCGATCGGACTCGTATTTTTAGCCAGTTTCTCTCTCCGTGGCGATCCAATGTGTTCTTTCTGCAGCTACCCACAGTTTCCCCGTAGCTCATATCTTTTTCCATGTAGCGCTTGAGACGTTTCCGGCCGGCTTCGCTATGGCGTTTACTATGCGATTTTAAAATTCTAATTGTGTGGAAGAGTTGCTTAACATGATCACATTCAAACGTGTTAAAACGTTTTCCGATCGGATAATATAGCCCCAAGAGCATCAAAGTTTCGAAAGTTTTCTGAATTTATGGTCCTTTCATATTTTTTCTAAAGATTATTTAGAAATATTTACGGTACGTACTTTTGTGACCCATCAAATTTCAGTAGAATAACGTAAGCATGAAAAGGATGAAGACAAATGTAAAAATAAAATAATGTAAAAAACATTTATTAAAAACAAGCTTTTATTTAACATGTACAATCAAAGGAATAAAATGAAGTAGTGTAACAAAAGATTTTTAGCAAGAATATTATAGCGGCTTGGCCATACTGTAGAAGTGAAACTTACCTTACTTATATTTATATACATATACACATCTGCTTTTGCTTGAGGTTATATTTTTTCGCTTTTTTTCTATCAATGTAGATCCTTACCTCTACCACTGTTCGTTTTCATAACATTCATGTTATTCTGTTTTTCCATTATCTTCATTTTTATCTTCATACTCTATCGATATAACGTCCATCAAAATATCGATAACAAAATCGATGATAAATTCGATAAAAATTTCAATAGCAACATCGATAATACCATTGGTAGCTAAATCGATTAGAAAGTCAATAAAAATATCGATAACAAAATCGATAAATATCGATAACAAAATCGATAAATATCGATAACAAAATCGATAAATATCGATAACAAAATCGATAAATATCGATAACAAAACCGATTTACAGCGATACAAAAAGCCATAAATATCGATACCAAAATCGATAAATGTCGATACCAAAATCGATAAATATCGATAACAAATCGATAAATATCGATAACGAAATCGATAACAAAATCGATAAATATCGCTAACAAAGTCGACAAACTACGATAGCAAAATCGATAAATATCGATAACAAAATCGGTAAAAATCGATAACAAAAGAGATAAATATCGATAACAAAATCGATAAATATCGATAACAAAACCGATGAAAATGTCGATTATTTAATCGATAAGTCTCGAGAATCTCGAAAATCTCTAAAATCCCAAAATAGTTCCCAGATTGAGTCTATGTGTCTCTCTCTATATCCTTTCCTCTTTAATTACCTTTATTTTAATCTTTCTTCCCCTATCTTCATCTTTACTTTAATCGGTATTCTCATCCTCATCTTTGTTTTTACTTTTATGTTTATCATTTTCTTCATCGACATATTCCCCTTCACCTTTGCCCTTATATATGTATATTAGTAAAGTGTTTAAATTTACCTTGGTCTTCGTTTTTACCTTTATCTTTACGCATCTTTGTTTTTGTTTTTGTTTTTATTGTTACCTTTGCCTTTATAATTTTCTTTATCTATGTACGTACTCACCTTTACTTTCATTCTTGTATTGTTATTTCTAAGTGTTATCCTCTAACCTTTTATTAGCAAGTTTTTGTTAAATTCATACCATATGCATACACACAAGAAGTACTTGTT